GGCTGCTACAGTAGCCATGGAGTGTATGGTGTGGGCAGCTACAGTAGCCATGGAGTGTATGGTGTGGGCTGCTACAGTAGCCATGGAGTGTATGGTGTGGGCTGTTACAGTAGCCATGGAGTGTATGGTGTGGGCAGCTACTGTAGCCATGAAGGCCACCCTTGGCCACCCTGGGATGTCCGGCTATAGGCTCTGGCAAAGCTATAGCAGGCCTGGCAAGCCGACAGTAGACAGTACCATTATGCTTGAATCAACAGAAAATGGAGAAAACAACAACTTAGAATCATAATAAAGCTCCATAATTAAGTTTAAGAATATACAAATGTAACAAGTATAGGATTACGGACGTTTGAAAAAAAGTCATTAATCTACGCTGATCACAAGCAAATTGTCTGAATAGTAATGACAAAAATGTGCGTTCTGATCTTGAGTTCATGACACACCGATGTCCTGGCGTGCACTACTGTGTTACATACAGAGACAGACAGACAGACTACTGTTTTACATACAAAGACAGACTTCTGTGTCACAGACATAGACAGACAGACTACTGTGTCTGGAAGTGAGACAAGATTTCTGTCACTCTTTCTCTGGAGATGCGCCCCGTCTCTAGCCAGGCTCGGAGCTTGTCCAGACAGGCCTGGGCCTTGATGACGTCAGCGGCGCCACCAGCAGACATAGAGCTATCGCTACAGACAGACTCAAACTGCGTTGATCCGCTGGACACGTCTCTGTGTGGAAGGTCTATGGATCTAAGCCTGAAACCTGCTGAACCTGCCTTGTTCTCGTGGGACTTTGCCTTCCACTGCTCCAGTTTCTTCTTCACGGCGGGGAGAGTGTAGAGGTACGGGTTGAGGGCGGAGTTGAGAGGTAGGATGAAGATGGTCGCGACCACGTTCACTTCTCCAGGGATTGGAACTCCAACTTTAGACAGGATACCCATAACTCCAATCGGAAACCAGCACAGGAAGTCAGTTATCACAACAAGGGCTAACTTTTTCGCGATGGTAGCGTCCTGGTTTCTGGATTTTTTTTAAAATCAGAAAAAACAATGATTTAATAAGTTTATTGTCTTGATATTTTACCCTAGAGATGTGTAGGAAACGTGTGGGTCGAGTTGTAGACGTGTCATTTGACAGCAACATATCGACCCTCACCACCCACTGGGCTCTAGATGTATCATTTGACAGCAACATATCCACCCTCACCACTCACTGGGCTCTAGATGTATCATTTGACAGCAACATATCCACCCTCACCACCCACTGGGCTCTAGATGTATCATTTGACAGCAACATATCCACCCTCAC